GTCTACAGTCTACAGTCTACAGTCTACAGTTTACATTCTACAGTCTACAGTCTACAGTCTACAGTCTACAGCCTACAGTCTACATTTTGCAGTCTACAGTCTACTGCCTACAGTCTACAGTTTACAGTCTACAGTCTACAGCCTACAGTCTACAGTCTACTGTACGTGTGTAGGATCAAGTTACAAAAGAATAAAAAAAAACTAGATTACGTCCAAAATATTAGAGATAACCTGAGATACATTGTTGTTACTGACCCTGGTCATTTTTCATCAACCCAAACCAAATATATTTTCAATTTTAGTCAAATCTTAAATATAATCTGACTGCTTGACTAGATTCTTCTTTGTCTTGCTTTCTGATTTTTTTAATGTTTGGGAAAAAAATGTTTTACAGCTTTATGAACTGGGGCATATTATTTTCAAACTTTAAAAATCTAATGCACACCTGGTCTACCCCCCCNTAGTTCAGACAACCCCTATCTTCTGATTATAGTCTGACATATATCCCCTGTTTATAGGGTATAAGATGAACTCGTATGAGTAGCGTAGGAGTCTCTGAGACCCAAACTTGTGGCGCCTTCAAGCTCTCCTCTGATTGGTCACTCCAACAGTCTTCCTTGTCTCTTATTGGGCAAGACTTCGCCAACTCACGGTTTCTAGCCAATCACGGTTGAAAGATCTGGCTCAGTCGTGATTTGGAATCACAATGTTGTATTTTCTTGCAAGTGCTACCAGTTCTGATAATATTCCAGTATAGATAAGACGTGATAGATTTAGTATGGTAATCCTAGAGTCCAACTACCGTCCTGACCTGGAGGACCCTATCTCCAGGCCTTGGCAGCAGCAGGAGCAGTTAGACAACAGCTCTCCTCCTGTTTATCATGGATACCAAGAGACTTTAGGCTTTTCTCAGCTACCCTCGGCTTCTGCTTTAGCTGCTTCTACGCCTACCTACCAAAGAGCTTCTTCCCCTTCTAAAGATGCTGTTTCACCAGCATATCTTGCTGTTCCTTCAACGCCTGTCTACAAGGAAGCATATCATGAAGCTCCTTTAACCCCTTCCTACCAAGCAGGACCCCCTACTCCTAGCTACAAGGATGTATCCCCTACTCCTACAAGCCTACCCACACCTCCTACTCCTGATTATACAGGACCAAATTCAACTACAAAATACACTGAAACCTTTTTCCTCCCTCCCACACCATATTCTCCAACAGCAGGGTATTCATCAGCACCTACGTCAGGTGCAGCTTCAACACCAAAATTCTCATCTCCATCATCATCATCATCATCATCAGTGTGTTCCACAGCATCATCAATGGATTATTCAAACATTTTCAAATCATATTCTGCTGCTTCTACATTGCCAACTTCTGCTTTTCCCCTGAGTTCTGATAGTTTTCTAAAATCCTGCAGCAAATATTCCAGTTATCCATCAAACCATTCAACCTTGCCCTCAATACACTCACAGGGACTCAAATTGAAGAAAGAGACCCCCTCACCCTGTAAACCTGAACAAGGTTGGGATAGTTCTCAGGGTTGGTATCAACCCCCCACTCCACCTTCTCCAACTTCTCCTAGTTCTGGGGCAATCTCATTTCCTTTTGGATACGAGAAGGAGGAGAAGGGGAAGATGAAGGATGGAAGAGAATGTGTGAACTGTGGAGTATCTTCTACTCCTCTCTGGAGACGAGATAATGGTGGTAATTATCTCTGCAATGCCTGCGGTCTTTATCACAAGATGAACGGAACCAATAGACCTCTCATCAAACCAAAGAACTCTAGGGTCTCCTCCAGTAAGAGGGATGGAACCAGCTGTGGCAACTGCTCTACAACAACAACAACACTGTGGAGAAGAACAACAGCAGGAGAGATTGTCTGTAATGCCTGTGGACTCTATCAGAAGATACATAACACCCCGCGACCGATTTCATTACGGAAAGAAAATCTTCAAACTAGAAAACGGAAGCAAAACAAATCCTCCGGACTTGCAGGGTTTACGTCCCAGTTTCCGGTCAAGATGGAGTTAGGAAACCCGGGATCCTTCTCATGGAGTAATCCCTACTGGCCACAGTTTCAGCAATCCTCCTACCCTACCTACCCTTACCAGTATTATACTCAAGGATCATATGGATACTAATAAGCTTATTTCAAGACCCAACTTTATAAAATGATCTCAAAAGATTGAAATTATATATTACTGTGATATTTCTTGTTATTAATACTTAATAAATTTTGTCGACTCACCAAAGTTATGTTAAAAGTGTACTGCAAGTTTCTTGTACAAAACAACGACTGAGAGTAACACTAAGCTTGTTTATGTTTCGTACTATGCTAAAAAGCTATACAAATTGGGGCATCTATATCTTCATATATAAAGTTGTCTGTGTTTGTTTGTTTGTTTGTCCGATCAAAGCTTAGGAACCTTTTGACGATCCTTCCTCAAATCGTGAGGGTTAACGGCAGGAGTAACTATGAGTAACCTGGGCAGAGCTGGGTTCCAAAGCTAATGTTTAATAAAAACACTCACATAGATTATGTAAGATTAACTCTATTAAAAAATTTGCCAAATATTTCCAATTGTCATTGTTGTTTAATATACAAAAGCAAGAAGATGCAGGTTTGACAAAAATAATTTAGTTTGTTGGTTCGTTGCTTGATAAAATTTTTATAAATTTTAGTTTGCTAGAGTTGTTTAAAAAAATTAATGTAGGTTTTTTATCCAAGAGGGGTCCCGGTCGTTATAAACCATTGAAGAGCCATGAGTTTATTTACAAATCATATTCATAGTTGTCACTGTAACGGTGACACATAAGTTCTATGTTTTCCACATTTAATAAAAATCCTAGACATACGACCAATTTATTTGTCTGGTGTCTTATTATTCTATATTTCTAGAGTCAAGTCAAGTCCTTTATAAATATAATTTTTTCAAATTTAATTAAAATCCTAGACAAACGACCAATTGGTTTGTCTCGTGTCTTATTATTCTATATTTCTAGAGTCAAGTCAAGTCCTTTATAAATATAATTTTTTCAAATTTAATTAAAATCCTAGACAAACGACCAATTGGTTTGTCTCGTGTCTTTTTATTCTATTTTTCTAGAGTCAAGTCAAGTTCTTTATATATATAATTTTTTCACATTTAATTCTAGACATACGACCAATTTTTTGTCTTGTGTCTTTTTACTCTATATTTCTAGTGTCAAGTCAAGTCCTTTATATATATAATTTTTTCACATTTAATTCTAGACATACGACCAATTTGTTTGTCTTGTGTCTTTTTATTCTATATTTCTAGAGTCAAGTCAAGTCCTTATATATATTTTTTGCCCTATTTACGTGAGAAAAGAAAACTATCAGCGTCTTATAAATCTTCCCAATCTTCCCAATGGTTTCTTATCTTAACAACCTCTCACTTAGTACACCAATTAAACCTGGGGATACCAGGAAACCAAGATATCATAATACCAGGATACCATGATACTAGGATACTAGGATGCTAGGATACCAGGATACCAGGATACCAGGATACCAGGATACCAAGAAACCAAGATATTGTTTAGTTAAGTAAGTTTTGGTGCCTGGTAGTATTATAAAGAGGTTGTCTTCATGTATCTTAATAAGATTTGGTATTTTTCAGTTCTTAGACTTTATGTCTATAGGTTAGTGTGTCTGTTAGCCAGTCTTAATGTCTGATGTTAGTTGGGTTTGTTGTCTGTTACTTATTTTAAGTGCCTGTCAGTAAGTTTTATTGTCTGTTAGTTAGTTTTAGTGTCTGTTAGTAAATTTTAGTGTCTTTTGGTTAGTTTTAGTGTCTGTTAGTTAGTTTTAGTGTCTGTTAGTCAGTTTTAGTGTCTGTTAGTTAGTTTTAGTGTCTGATGGTTAGTTTTAGTGTCTGTTTTTAAGTTTAGTGTCTGTTAGTAAGTCTGCATAATCTGTCTGTCTTACTAAGAATTTACGCTTAAAATAGAAAAAATACAAGCTGGCAAAATACTGGACTGCTGGTATGATGGTGCAGGGGGGGGGTGCATGGATTCTTGGG